TCTCTGTCTCTTCCTACACCAAAAGCTTTCGCTGGAGAAATTGATAAATGTGCTGGTTTCCTTACTCAATGTGCCCTACAGTTTTGCCAGCAACCGCAAGCCTTTTCTACTGATGGTGCAAAAATTGCACCATCAGTAGCTCCAAGATCGTGCTCTGACCTGGGCACAAGCTGTGCTTCAAGCAGATCTGGACATCACTTTCACTGACTTTCTTGTTAAGTTTAAAGGTGTGTTTGACAGAAAGGGCGCAATTGCCACTCGCGCTCAAACAAGGTAAACGAAGCATGGCTGATTTTTCTATTGATTTTTCTACTTTGGCCGAACAGACGAAATGGGGGGAAGAGGCCCTTAAGAGTGCATTACTTACTAATGTTAATGAGGAAATAAAGAATGAACTGATGCTTTGTGAACTACCTACCTCCCGAGATGCGCTTTTGGCTCTGTGTATTCGGGTGGACGACCAAGTGTGCGCACACCGGAGCGCACGCATACGTTCTGGGCATGAACCGCTGGATTTCTGTGGGACCTCTACTGCAGCCCGTGGGCCGCGTGACGCTGACACCTGGGTTGAGGAAGAACCCATGCAGCTTGGGCGCTTACGGCTGTTGCCCGCGGAGCGCCAGCGCCGCCTTGCCGCCGGTGAGTGTGTTTATTGCAGCCATAAGGGCCACTCTGTCTCTTGCTGCCCGACACTGGCAAAAGGGTGCGCTCACCAGTAATCGAGAGGGTGCTGGTGGGCGATCTGTCGAGTGAAAGCCCTCTCGCCAGACTTCTCTTACTGGCTAAACTACGCGTTCAATACGCATCGGGGACACTTTGAGTATCTCGTGATGCCGTTTGGGCTGACCAACAACCCCGCAGTGTTTCAGGCGATGGTTAATGATGTCCTTCGTGATTTTGTTAACCGTTGTCTGTTTGTGTACTTAGATGACATCCTGATCTTTTCTAAGACTCTCGAAGAAGACCTCCTGGAAAACCAGCTCTTTGTGAAGGGGGAGAAGTGCGACTTTCACGTGACTTCAGTGAGTTTTTTGGGCCACATCATCGAGAAGGGGGACTTGCGGACTGATCCGGAGAAGGTGCGGGCAGTGGTGGAATGGCCTGCACCTCCTGATTGCCGCCAATTGCAATGTTTTTTTGGCATTCCCTAACTTTTACAGACGGTTCATTCGCGATTTCAGCAGGATAGCTCTTCCTCTTACTGAACTCACCTCTCCCAAAGTTCCCTTCCAGTGGGATCCTGCCGCTCAGCGAGCCTTCGCCCTGCTCAAGGAGAGATTCACCACTGCACCCATATTCCGGCAACCGGATCTTACACAGCAGTTTGTTGTGGAGGTGGATGTGTCGGACTCTGGGGTGGGGGCGGTCCTGTCTCAACAGAAGGACGGTAAGCTGCACCCGTGTGCCTTTTATTCTCGCCGTCTCTCTCCAGCAGAATGTAACTATGACATCGAGGACCGGGAGCTTCTGGCCGTCAAGCTGGCCCTGGAGGAGTGGAGACATTGGTTGGAGGGAGCAGCACAATTATTCATCGTCTGGACGGATCACAAGAATCTGGAGTACTTGTGCTCGGCTAGACGTCCCAATTCCCGGCAAGCCAGGTGGGCGCTGTTTTTCTCTCGTTTTGAC